CTAAATGTGAAATGCTTTCTGTTTCATGGTCATCTATGAGTGTTTTAATCTTTTTGTATTTGTGTTTTCCTAAAAATCAGAATTCTAAGATGTCTCTTGGTTAATTTCTAATGTGAAGTGAACTTTTGCCCAGTGAATGTATGTTGTAAGAACTTTAGTTGTGAGCATCTCTAAAGCCTTTTGCATACCTATAGAACTGATATAATGCTTTTGAAATGGTACTTCAGGTATTTTTGTCAATGTTAAATGAGATGATTGGTAACTAGTGTCTAAACTTGGGAATCATGTTGTACTAAGTTCAGTAAAATAAGAGGTTAAACTTGTGGGATGACTATTAGGAATAGAGATGTGTGTCTTAAGTCAGAAAGATAATTGATGGAGATATCAGTGGGAAAAGGAAAGGAATCCAGTTACAGAATGTTTGTAAAAGGAATGTGTATATGAGGTTTGAGGTTGGTTTAAGAAAAGGAACTGATCAAATTGTTTTGTTATAAGAAACTCTTTAAATCACATGCAGAATTGTTCTAGTACCTTTTCAATAAGATCTATGAAAAAGACGATAGGTGGATTATCCGAACTCCTGTTACAGTGCTCTTAGATAATTGAATTTTTCAAAAGTTGCAGGGAATCAAGGGTTTTGACATGGGATTGAAAACATGTTAAACAGTATGCTTTATCTCTACAGATTTTAGCTTCTTTTGACTAGGACTCACAGCAAACGGGTGTATTACATCTCTGTGAGTAAAGTGAAATGCTTGCTTTTCTCTTCTTTTGTACCCTCAATATGTTTTTGATGTTTCATGACACTATGTTGGTTTGCATAAATCCAGATAAGTCTTTCCTCTCTGTAATAGGGTCTTCCCCTCATGCAGACAGGAAAAACCAACTATGAGACCCCAAAGCCCTCTTCCAGGGAATAGTCAGGGGATCTGTCTAAATGACAGGAGCAGGGATTTAAAAGGTACTGTTTTCAAGTACCCTACAAACCTCAGGGCGACCCTAGAGGCAGGCCGGCTCAAGAAAAGACTGGAAATCATCACTGCTGTGGAGAATACGGAATCTAGGACTCTGCAATGACTAACTCAGTCTGGGCCTACTCTCAGAGCCAAGGAAAAACCTGGAAACCAGGATTTCTCCAAGCCCTGAAGAAGGGATGGGATGGACTCCTTTCTGCCAGGACATCTCTGTGGAAAATGAGGCCCAAAGCTACATCCAGCTCAACCTGAAGGCTTGAGGCCATCCATTCCAATTCATTGCGGGACATCTTCTGGCCAGGCCTGGGTAGCTCTGACGTGCCAAATCAGATTAATGCCACTATTGCTGTGTCTCCTGTCTTTAGCAGATCTCCAGGACTTATCAGTAAATAATGGGGTATCCCAAATGGAGAGGTCTCTAATCTTACTGTGTTTATGCAAAAGAACAAGCCAGGTTTATTAAGCTATCTTGCAACGTTTTAAAATGAAGGTGGAGAGAAAACCATGTTTCTGTCACTTGCTTTTTGTAAGAATCAGATTCTATTTCTACAAGAGATGATTGAATAAACGTATCCTAATCTTGATCTAAAAGGTACCCCCTTTTTGGGAAATTTAGATAAAACTTGGCTTACTGACTGTAGAAAAACAGCCTAATCTATAAAGGAACTCAATGTTACACATGCTGTCATTGGTCTGATCAGAGCATTGGAAGCCAGAGCTTTACTAGGGTGGAGCTCATCTCAAAGGGCAGAATTGCTTTCCCCCAGTCTGTGAATTGGCCGAAGTGTCAAGAAAGGGCATCTAAACTGGTTAAATTAGAATGGATTAATATCTAGTTCTAAAATACTGTGAATTTTCTTTCTATACTTTCTGTATTGCATCTCATTTTCTGTGAACAATCATTTGGAGAGAACAAGGATGTTAACAGCTCTTAATTTTTGTTGCATCATGGGATTAACACCAGAGAATGTTTCCTCTGAGCCAGAATGCTCTGCAGAAGAGGACCGATGGACATTGGAGGTTTCCAAAAGGAAGCTGATGGATGATTTACCAACAAGGAAAGTTGCTAACTCCTGGACCAATGCAGTGGAATATTATTAAAGGGTTATGCTTTAACACTAGTGAAAACCATCTTCCATGGGAAGGGACTCAGTAGCAAGTAAGGTAGAAGTAACTCAGAACTGTGCTTTCTGTGCCATTAATGAACCTAGTGGAAATCTTGATCCTCCTCTCCTAACACCTGTTCAGCATCAAGGAACTTAGAGGAGGATCACAGCTTGACCTTATGCAAATGATCAAATGCTAATATGTTCAAGGTATAAATATCTGTTGGTTCTTATTGATAGCTTCAGTGTATGGGCAGAAGCTTTTCCAATCTGCACTGAGAAAGCCAGAGAATGGCTTGGTGTTTCTGTGTCCAGTAGAAAAATCTGGACACAGGAAGTCATTTTTCTATCAGCCAAACCTGTGGGTAGAGAACTCTGTCCTTACTGGGTCAGAAAGGAACGTCTACTCCTCCAGGGTCTAACCATTTCAACGTAATATCCCTTAGTCTAATCGAACTGATCTTTTCTTTCAGATAACTTCGGGAACCCAACCAATTCATTGCTGAGGGCCACTAAAAAGCTGAGGTAGCATGAGATTTCACCCCTTGTGTAGGCAGGGCCAGCGCCCCATTGTCAGCATGAAGCAGCTCCAGAAGATGAACCTTCTCCCATTCTCCCTTAAAGATTCAAGGTGGTGGAATCTCTAGGGGGGGGCAATAGGATGTAGGAAGGTAGACAAGGAAGGCCCCCTCCCAAGGCAATGAAGAATGGGGATTTATGTGTGGTGTTGGGAGAAAAATGCTGCTTCTCTATACTGATTACACAGGGGTGGTCTGAGACTCCACGGCCAAGCTCGGGGAGGGCCTTGAGCAGTGCTGAAGAGAAAGGGAGGCCCAGGAAAGCTGGCACAAGCCCTGGTTTAACCAGTCTCCTTGGTTAGCTACCCTCCTGTCAGTGTCAGCGGCCACCTTGGAGAAGATGACCATCAGCTCCCGCTGCTCCAGCACAGCTCGGTGTCCCCCTCAAATCCTTCCGTCTACATACCCAGGAACACCTCCTGATGGAAGTCCTCGTTGAGGTGCCTGTCCAGCTCGAACTTCACCGCGGACAGGTGGTTGGGGGGCAGGGTCTCGAGCTCATCTCTGCTGGCTCAGTCCTGAGCAGAAGAGTGGTTGGCAGGCTGTGCAAAGGTGCGCATCAATGGCCCGAGCTCCAGGAGCCAGAGGCAGCAAGCAAGCGGGCTGCCGAGTGGGGCCAGTCTGCAGTCCATGATTGGCTGGGCCCGGCAGGAGCTGTGCACCCGCAGTCCCCCCGCAGACGGTGAGTGGCCCAAAGCTGCTGTCCGACAACGCCGCTGACACTTCCGAAGAGATGGCTTTGCAGTGACCCAGACGCCCAGCCGGCCCACTCAGGCCGCTGCCATCCTGCTTCCAGACAGACTAGTTGTCATCCCTTTGCTCTTGGTGACTGTTGGTCCCTGGGTCCTCGACCGCTTTGTGAACTTTGTTAGGCACCAAAATAACACTGTCTAGCTACTGGTACTAAAACAACAGTATCAGATTTTACAGCCTGCTGAGGAAGATTCCTCAGTATGAAGTGGAGAGAAGGAGGAATGTGAGGGACAGGCCCAAAATGGACTACCACCAGAATTAATTTAGCTTAGCTTAATAGGAGCCTGCATTGCAAAATAACTTGTTTTTCAAGGAACAGGTCTACATAAGCTTTTTCAGATATACTTTATAGGAGCCTGCACTGCAAAATAACTGGTTTTTCTGCCCCTGAGCAAGGAATTCAGATACAGGTACTCGAAGGGTGGGGGTCAGATCAGATAACCGGATGTCTCTCACAAGACCCATGTGCAAGACCCAGAACTGCCTTAAAAACCTGTCAGTTCCTAGGCACCAACGCAAAATGCTGATCTTTAAACTATAGGCTAAGAAGTGATGTACCTTTAATTGGCTTGGTTAAGAAAGCATATGTTGTTACAAATCTATTGGCTATGAAATGCGCGGGCTTTGCTGTAACGGCCAGTGAAGGCCTATATAAGATCCCCTTTGAAGAGGTTCGGGGTCTTGCCTCACCTAACTGACCTGCGTGTCTGTGTAGGCGGCTTGACCCTGGCTAGCCAGTCTTACAATAAACCTTGCTTGATATTTGCAGTCTCTGGAGTCTCTTTGTCATTAAAGGGAGATCATGATCGGTGCCCTAACAGTATCTACATAAATTATGTAGATACAGTCTCACCCTGGCCAGGCCTGGGGGTCAGGGGCCTCTGTTTCAAATCTGCTAAAGCATCAACGTTTCTATCAAGACAGTAATATCAAGCTTTAGGACTGCTGCCCCCAATGACCCCTGTGCTGTTGGCAAACTGGGATGCATTCCTTTGGGATCTTCGGGAATTCGGATCTCTGCAGGTGTTACTTGTTTTGGCATCTGGAATTCTGATCTCAGCAGATGTTATTTTTCTCTACCCTCTCTCCAACCCCCCCAAAGTTCCATAAAAATCTAGGGAAAATAATAAAATAAGAACGGGGAGTGGGGGCAAGTACCTTGGGCCTTATTCGTGTTTCTGGTCAAGGAATAAAGATTATAAAAATTAGCACCAATATAGCCATAGCAGATGCATCCTCAGGGGTCAGTTACGGGTCTGTTGTAGCTTTGTGTCTCTCGTGACACTATTGGGTCCAGGTGAGAGAGGAGAAAGAAAATGTTCCCTGCAAAGGGGTGTGTGTGTGTGTGTGTGTGTGTGTGTGTGTGTGTGTGTGTGTGTGTAAGGGGCAAGGAGTTGGCAGCTGGGGGCTTCCCAGAGAGTCTTAGTTATTTATTGGGCAGCCTGGGGATGACATTCCCCTGGATATAACATTCCCCTGGGGATGACAGCTTGTAGCAAAAGATCCCAGTTTCAGAAACAATCCCAGCTTACCGAAGCCTCTGTTTTTTTTTGGTCTGTTTGTTTTCTGTTGCCGCTTCCACAGTTACAATGAAGCACATCAATTTGTCCTTTGCCGCCTGTGGATTCCTGGGCATCTACCACTTGGGGGCAGCGTCTGCCCTTTGCAAGCACGGCAGCAAGCTGCTGAAGGACATGAAGGCCTTCGCGGGCGCCTCTGCGGGCTCCTTGGCGTTCACGGTCCTGCTGACAGCACCGCAGAAATTAGAGGTAATTCAGTAGAAACGAAGGCTGCTCCTGGCCTGGACATTCAGAAGGGAGGACAGAAACCTCCTCTTGCAGGAAAACAGGCCAGCAAACTCCCCCTCCCTCCCCCCATCCCCCAGGCTGAGCATCAGTCTCAGCCTCAGAGTGTTTGAATTACATGGCAGAAGCTCTGGATTCAGTTCCTGCCCACAGCCCCACAACCACACACACACACACACACACACACACACAGAAACACAATGATACACATAGGCACACAGACATAGATGTACGCACAGACACACACAGAAGTGCACAGAGATACAGACGCACATAGAAATACACAGAGACATATACACAGACTCGCACACAGACACATATGTAGAAATACACAATCACACACTAATATAGAGACACACATATGTACACACAGAGACAGACACAGCATATAGAAATGCACAGACACACACAAATACTTAGAAATACACAGAGACACAGACACACAGATTCACACAGACACATAGGAATACACTGACACACACAGACACAGAAATCGTTCCCATCCCTTTTCAGGGTGGCGAGGGCTTCAGGATGAGAGAGGAAGCAGCAGAAAAAAGTGCTAGATTAGACGTGAGATGTTTCCTGTTTTCCCCACGTCTGTGCCAGCCGGGGCCGGGATGGTTTCAGAACCCAGGGGGTGAGGGGTGGAGACTGAGGGTCGGAGATGCCTGCTTGCCCAGGCCCAGAGCAGGTGGCAGAGTCGGAAGTTGGGGTACAGCCAGATGGGGCAGGGGGAGGGTGCAGGGTGCAGGTGCTTTTCACAGAGAACGCGACTCTGCGTCCAGAACCCCACGCATCCGTCTGGACACCCCCCGCCCCGCAGGCAGTGACTCTTCATGATCTCTCAGGAATGTAAAGCGTTCATCTACACGTTTGCTGAAGAAATCCGCGGGCAGTCCCTCGGGGCCGTGAAGCCCAGCTACGACTTCGTGGCCCGACTCAGGTCAGTGGCCCCCACGGCCAGCCCTGCTCCGCCCCTCCCAGCCCACTTTCTGCCAGGGCCCTGCCTGGGCCGCCTGCGGGCCTGCGGGCATGCGGGGGGCTCACGCAGCACCCGTTTGTGCCCTGCAGGTGTGGGATGGAGTCCATCCTCCCCGCCAAAGCCCACCAGCTGGCCCACCGCCGACTGCACTTGTCCATCACCAACACCAGGACCAGGCAAAACTACTTGGTGTCCAGCTTCAGCTCCCAGGAGGACCTCATCAAGGTCGGCGGTGCCCGCACTGACTCCTGACGCCTCTGCCCAGCGCTCGGCCACCCTCCCTGTGCCCCGGCCTCACCCGGGTCATGTTGGCTCACTGTCCCCACGTGCGTGGGACACACCGTCCTGCTATAGCTCACTGTCCCCACGTGTGTGGTCTACACTAACCTGCTATAGCTCACTGTGCCCGCATGTGTGTATACGCCGTCCTGCTATAGCTTACTGTCCCCATGTGTGTGTATACACCATCCTGCGATAGCTCACTGTCCCCGTGTGCATAGTACACACAGTTCATGCACACACGGAGACATGCAGGCAAGGGCACGCATGGAGAGTTTGTCTGGGAAGAGCCGTGGGGAACGGGCTGAGATGAGTGGGGGCAGCAGACGCTTGGATGTGGCCTCGGGTGTCACCTACAGCTGCTCCTGTGCTCGAAGGCTGTGACCGCAGCTGTCCAAGGAAACGGACGCCCAGGAGAAATGAGTCCGTGACTTCCTAGGTTCCAGCATCACTCAGCACCCCTCAGGCCCAGGCTCCTTCTATTCTGGTGTCCCACCTTAGAGAAACACGTTTCCCCATCCTCTTCTTACCATCAGCTGTGGACTGGCAAACTGCAAAGGGAAAACCTGCCCAGCCATGCCAGATTCGTCCCTGCAGAGCAAAACTCAGAACGGAGGATGAGCCCCCGGAGGGACAGTCAGTGCGGCTCATCTGAGCTCAGGGCCAGTCGCTGAATTTCCTGGGTTTCCGGGGACGTCCATGGGTGGCTGGGAGCACGTCCAGCTGCTGGAGTGGCCTGCACAGTCTCTCCCCCCCCCCCGCCCCGGGCAGAGCTCTCGGCCACCACACCCCGCATTTCCTGGCCCCCCACCAGAAGCTCTTTGCTGCACCTGTGGCTCATTGGGCGAGCGAAGGGGAACACACAGCCAGTGTGCATCAACCACGGCCGTCTCGGGACCCCAGGGAGATGTTCCAAGGTGCTGCCAACTTGGCCCATGAGGTACCAGGGGCTCCAGATCTGCCAGTCCGCATAATATGAACAGGGCCCGGAGTGATGGTCCAGCGGGGTGGGCCTGTGCCTTGCACGAGGCACCCGGGTTCTATTCCCAGGGCCCCATAGCGTATGTCAAGTCCACCGGGAGTCACTCGAGCACCTCTTCGGGCAGGTGACATTGCAGTGCTCGCTTTTAGTCCAGTTCCTTTTGCCTCCGTCATGTGGCACGCCACCCTCCTGCTGCCAAATGCCAGCTCCCGCTGGCTGGCCTGAGGTCAGAGAGCGAGGGCATGTGCGGGCCCCGAGGCTCACCCGCCATCTCTTCTCTGCCCACCCAGGTGCTGCTGGCTAGCAGCTTTGTGCCCATCTACACTGGGCTGACACTGGTTAAGTACAAAGGGCAGGCAGGTGCTTCCCTGGCAAGGACTGGGAGGTCCCGACAGTGCTTGGCCTTGGAAAGTCATGCACAATAAGTATTTGCATGAGAAGTCAGCTAGCGGTATGCGGTTTCCTCCAGGAATAGTGTGGTTTTTGTTTGATCACTTGATCACTTGACTTCCCGTTAATCGTTGATTTGCTCGAGCGGGCGCCAGTAACGTCTCCATTTGTCCCTATCGTGTGCTAGTGTAGCCCAATGGTGTCTGTGAAGAGCCTCAAACCGATCGTTCAGGATCTTGATGAAGAAGTCTGACCATCTGGTAGGTGGGCGGCCACGCGGTCTTTTGACGTCCCGTGGAATCCAGTCAGTAATGGCTCTAGTCCAGTGGTCATCTCCAAATCTCATTACGTGTCCAGCCCATCTGATTTTTGATACCTTGGCAAACGAGAGAGCGTCCCTGATTCTTGATCTTCGATGGAGGGCGGAACTCTGGATTCTTTCCCTCATTTGAGTGAAACGTGAAATTCCAAGCATAGCTCTTTCAATTCCTCTTTGGGAGACTGGAATAGTGTTCTCATCCTGTTTGCGTAGGGCCCAGGTCTCTGAGGCGTATGTTAATGCAGGAAGAACAGTGGAATCAAAGAGATGTGCCCAGAGCCGGAGGTTCTTTGTCCTCTTAGCTATTTCTTCGATGCTTTTGAAGGCGTTCCAAGCAGCTCTCTTCTTCCTGCACAACTCAGGTGCCAGGTCATTTGGCATGTTGACTTCTTCACCTAGGTACACATAACTGTTGCATTCAGAGATTGTTGTTCCATTGAGAGTGAATGAAGCATCACGAACTTGACCATAAGCATTGATTCATTCAAATGCCTAACAACCCGAATCGGACGTTTACACTTGAATAGATGTGGCTCACTGCTGGCAGTTTCTATCTTTGTTATTTACTCACCAACATCCAATTATGATGAAGGAGAAAATGAGAAGTTCTACATGGAATTGGAGAAGTTCTATAAAGAAGACCACACCTTCTATAAGATCATTGTTGGTGATTTTATTGCCAAGATAGGACTGAGAAGATCAGCCGAAGAACTCCACATCGGGACCCATGGCCTAGAATGGAACGAACAGGGTGAGAGACTGTCTGAGTTCATCATGTCGACCAAGACCATCCATGGTAACTCACAGTTCCAGAAGGTCGAATCTAAACGTTGGACATGGGAGTCTCCCGTTGGATGGTTCCACAACGAAATAGACCACATTATATTCAATCAATGGTTTTCCCTGACTGATGTTGCTGTTGTCCCAAAATTCCAAACAGGATTGGACCACCGTCTCCTTCATGCAAAATTCTACTTTACAGAGTGGGGAGAAAGGGCTGCAAAGTTTAAGAAGAGAACTCCCAGAACGACCACCAACTAGAAGCTCTTTGGCACTAATGCTGCAACATGGGAGGATGACATTGTTGACAACATTGACGAGGAATACGATCAACTGGTTCAGCACCTCCATGATTGTGCGAGGAACGCCAAAAGAGAGATTGTCACAAAAAGACGACTGGCTTCAAAAACTCTTGAGCTTATTCGCCAACGTGGTTTGGCGCATGCCTCAGGCAACCGCAAGCAAACGTCCGAGTTCGCAAAGCAGTGCAGAAATGCGATCAAGGAAGACCTCAAACAGAGAAGAGCAGAAGTACTGGTAGATGCGGCAGAAGCCGGGAAAAGCATTTGTAATGCCTGCCTGTCCTTCGCCAATTACAAGACCAAGATGACTACCCTACGACGTCCTGATGAATCTATCACATCTTCCAGAAGGGCAATGGAGAAGATTATCCATGACTTCTACTCAGATCTCTTCGATAGCCATGTCCACCTGCCCACATACCAAATTCCACAGGATGGATATGTCGTTCCCAATGTTCTCCCCTCCAAAATATGACACGCCATTTCATTGGTAAAGAAACGAACAGCACCTGGCCCAGACAAGGTCAGACCTGAACACCTGAAGAACCTGCCGTCAGTACTCATCAATATGCTGGCTCGGCTCTTCACACGCTACCTGTCTGAATGCAAGTTTCCATCCCAGTGGAAAACCAGAAGGACTGTACTCTCTCTCTTTCTCTCCTTTATCCTCCCCCTCTATCTCTCTGTCTCTCTATGTCTGTCTCTATCTATCTCTCCCTCTTTCTCTCTTCCCTCCCTCCCCTTCCTTAAAACCTCCCAATATCGTCTATTTTTTCGCTTGAATGTTGTATCCTTCTGGAATCCCTTAGAGCAGAGAAGCCTGGGGGAGCTTGAGGATTTACTTCCTTTGCTGTAGAGCTGTGGCTGGCTGAAGCCTGAGCCCGTGTCCCCCAAGAAATTGGGTGCTGGGAGTAACTCCCATGCAGCAGCCAACAAGGAGACGTAGGTGTAGTCAGTGTCTGCCTATCGGGGCTGGCAGGATGTAAGGTGAGTGCCATGCAGGGGCTCATCGCAGACGTCACCAGTTGGAGTCTTCCCAGCTGGTCCCAGGGTGGAAGAGGCTGATGGGGAGAAAGTGGCAGGTCCCCTTCTCAAGGCTTCCGTCTCTCTTCTCCAATGGACATAAGTCACCTGGGCACCCCACGGGCATCATAATCATGGGATTCTGCATCCAGTTGGGTGGACACTGGCCTGGAGAGTGTGCACTCTGGCCAGCTGATACTTCGGCCAACCTCAAAGCCCACAGGAAGTTGCTGGGCCACAAATAAAGGATCTTGCTGAGCAGAGAAGATTCCAGCAAACTTGAGCAACATTGCGCGAGATCAAAAGCTCCTGGCTCAGGTCCAGGAGCTCCGTGGAGCAAAGAGGCTTCCAGATATTCCAAAGTGGTTGTCTTGGCAACTGATAAACCCGAGAGGGGCCGGCATCTTTGCACAGAACCGCTGAGCTCACCATGGCCAGGCCATGGTGTTGACACATTCATTTCATTTCATTTCATTTCATCATCCTGTTATTCGTCGATTGCCTCGAGCAGGCCCCAGTAACGTCTCTTTCATCCTAGCCCTGAGATTATATTCAAGGCTATTTAGGAGAATGAGACCCATCATTGTTACTGGTATTTGGCATATTTGGTACGCCACGGGGAGTTTGCCAGACTCTGCCCTGTGGGCAGGCTACATTCGATAGCCTGCAAGTTTGTCCAAAGTAGGAATAAGACAATAAGATGTCATAAAAAAAAAAGTTCTGTTAAGATGCTCTGCCAGTACCTTCATGTGTGCAGAGAGTGGTCTCAGCATGGTGGTGGCTGGTCCTGGAGGTCTTCGGCTGCCGTAGCCCTGGTCGGGGCGGGGAGGAAAGCTCAACCCGCTCCCCTCCAAGGGACTCCGGGAAGGAACACCCAGGCGCGGGGGCAGAGACTGTTCTCGTCCGGGATCTGGATTTTATAGTCTCTGAGTCTTGGCCGCTGATGGGATTACACGGCGCCAGGGGGCCAGGTGGTGGGTGTGACCCCCGCCTACTGGAATTTGGAGGATCTGGGTGGAAGATGCTCGACTTCAATTCGAGTAGGCTTGGAGGTCTCGGCCCCGGAACCCGCGTGGCTTTGTCCCTCTGCCAGTACCTTCATGTGTGCGGAGAGTGGTCTCAGCATGGTGGTGGCTGGTCCTGGAGGTCTTCGGCTGCCATATCAACAGAAAAAAATCCAGAAGATTCAAAGCAGAAGGGGAGAAAACGGGTGAAGAGTTAAATGTTAATGCTGACATTGAAAAACAAAATCCCTGAAATAAAATTGCATTCCACGTTATTAACATGCCATGCACCATTAATCCTGTGGAATGCACAGGAAAACCTGCTTTCCCCCAACCCCTGCCCCCAGGTGAGAACTGACCTTGCATCCGTGGCAGCGAGTGAGCGTGCAGGAAAGACTTCATCTTTCTTGTGCTATGCTCAGTGGGCACTGCTGAGGTAAAGGGGCAGGAATACATGGTAAGAAATAATGACTCTTCAAGTGCAGTCTCCCCACCTTCTCCAGATGGAATCCCAGTGATCATGAGCTTCTACAAGCAAGGCTCCGGTATGTGGGTGTCAGGACTAACTCTCCAAACCACATGGCAGCACTGGAACCAGGCAATTTCATCCCGCCTTCCTGTCTGCTCCCGATGTCAGGAATCAGGCCCCCAACCTGCCTCCAGGAACCATCTTGCCGCACATAGTAGTGATGATCCCAGAGGAAATCACAGCACTGGAGATTTCTCCAGACCCAATACCAAGCTGACTTCACCGGGATGCCCCGGATGGAGCAGGTGCAGTCTCCCGCCTTCTCCAGGTGGAATCCCGGTGACTATGAGCACGCATACAAGCAATACTCTGGTATGCAGGTGTCGGGACTAATTCTCCAAACCGAATTGGAATAGCTCCCTACAGCGATGTCTCTGGAACCAACCATTTATAATTTAGAATCTCAGAAGCACACAGCCACTTATGCAGCCACATGATCTTTCATGATACATAAAATGAGCAAGGGAAAATAAATGATCTAGGACACACCAATGACTCTCAGACCCAAGCAACTTGCTGCAGAGATGGCTCTGGACTTTGCTACTGCAGAGTGTTTTGCCGGGCCACTCTAGTTGGGGGCAGGTGCCGTCCCTCCACCTGTCCTCTAGGAACCCCGGCAGACACCATCTTCTAGAACACAGTGAAAACCTCCAGGTATGGGTGGCGGTGGCAGGAAACGCCAGGCCTCATGGGATCGGAGAGGAGTAGGTCCTTCTCCTTCTCCCCACACAGCCACCATCTACTTAAGCTCCCACACAGCCATGATCCAGAGACACACAAATGAATCTTGGACCTGAGCAACTTGCTGCAGCGATCCTCCAAAACCTAATTATTAAAACTTTGGAACTGCAAGAACAGCTGCACGGCATTATATTGTATCCATAGCAAGCAATACAAAACTCATTGTCTAGCATTATATTTTTGGAAAGAATGAGTGGTGCTGGAACTGGACGCAAATATCGAAGTTAACCAAAGTAGATAAAGACATTATTGGGCAAATTGTCTGCCA